CTTTGTCCTGCTGTAAGTCGATTTATTTTGTTAAGTCCCAGCCAGAACTCTCCTTTGAGGTCACCAAATCCTTTTTCATAGTCAGCCCAGTTGAGGTAGAAGTTAACAGAACCATCCATTCTCCTTTGAAATACAGTCCAGCCGCCTCCATTACTCATATCACAATAAACCTATAATGCAAATTATATGCTGCTACCGTGTAGCCTCTTTATTTTGGGCCCACACTACCTATCCTTAATACATGTACAGTGTAGCCTCTTTATTTAAGGACACCAACAGATCCACATTACCTGTCCGTAATGCAGAGGTGTCCTCATTTTAGAGGTACTTTTGTACAGGTTTTTTTTACCAATCGGGACATTGCAAATTTATTATAAATGGTTCTATATACTGTTAATATTAATATATTTACGTCAAAGGCTGGTAGTTCATCAGGTTTCACAGTATATACTCCACTGCATACTTTACCGTTTTCATATGCTTCCTTACAATTACGAGGAAGGCAACCTATTAGTAAAATAGATACAGTATGTCTAATCATTATTATTACTGTATGACTTACATGCTTTTTGTGTTTCCTGTGCAGTAGCAATGCTAATAAGAATGAAGCATCCTATCAGCTTAAAATAAGAACAGGAATCCATCTTGTCTTGACTTGCTGTATAGAACTAATACTGAACAATCCTTTTACTGAGGCTACCAGTGTCTGTGATGAGTTTTTGTGTACAGCTACTGCTTTTATAACATGCTGCAGCTTCATTTCCTGTTACAAAATTATTATGAATTTACAGATCTAGGATTCAATTTTGGGGGGCAATTATGAGATGGGTGGGGTAATTAGAGGGTGTGGTCAAGTAAGCTTGTGTACAGAACCATAGATATTTATGCAGCGGTATAATATTTCTTATCACACCAGTTCTCTCTTTTTTCCAATTTAATCCTACTACTTTTCCATTTTTATTTACTTTTAATATCATAAATCAATTCATAAACATTCTATTTTGTATCATATGTTAATAAATGAAGGTTAACTGTAGTTACAATGTTATATATCTTCTTGTGTATTGATTATAAAGTTTTGAGGCATAGTGAGAATTCCACAGACCAAGAAAAAGGAGAAGGAACAGATAGAGAAAGACCACCAGTAATCCATTTGTGGTTGGAAAACCATCTTCTGGTAGGACTACACAAAATAGAAATAAAACAAGGACATCATCAGTAATTTTAAAGAGAAAAAATTTTGGCAAATTTGGCATTTTGAAAGCTACTGGCCAAACCATTTTGAATCATTATGTACAATTCACCAAATTAAACCCACCAATCACCACAATTTTTACCAGTCACACTCATCTCTCACTCCCTCCCTCCCGAGGGCCTTATTTTGGTCTCCCTCTCTCCCTTACATCATAGATACTTTATTCTTACATTTACCTTGGTCTCACTCTCTCCCTCCCTTACCTTGGTCTCTCCCTCTCCCTTATACCTTGGTCTCACTCTTTTGTGTGCAAAGACAAGAATGTACTTAAACTCTCAACATATATCCCATCATCTGTCACTACAAAGTATCTCTCCGGCACTTTCTGATTAAAGGAAGGTTCACTGCCATGTTGTACCCTAGACCTGAGAGAGAGAAGTTCTGTAAATTTAAGGAATTGGCAAAAAGTTTAAATAACGTTAAATATAATTGTAGATGAAAATTCTAATTTTGGTTAGTAGCAAATTTTAGCAGCAATGCACTCAATATAAGACCCCTTGCAAGACAATGGTACAAGACCCCTTGCTGTACCTTATATCAGGGTGAGAGTCCACCTCACAGACAGCCATCATTGCTACACAATGGAGGGAGGGAGCTCTTGGTCCAGCTGGTGGCTGAGGGACTGAAATTCATACAAACTGAGAGCTCAGTAGAGAGGTATGTTCCCTCTCCAAATATATTGACCTTCAGAAAAAGTGAAATTAAAAATGAAATTAAATTCTAACGGAATATACTCAATATATATATAATATATACAGTAATTTTGATGTACCAAGAGTTGATCAAAACCCAAAAGACAATATAAGACATTATAAACAGTATTTCAATTAAGGTAAGGTACATGTACGTTGTCTTTTAATGAGACTAATGTATAATAAAAAATAATGTAGCTATGTAGAATACTGCAGTTTCATTGGTCGATTGCTATAGGCATAATAGAACAATACTTGATGGGCAAGAATGTATATTATTATTATATCATAAAAAGGAAATGGAAGTCGGTCCAATAACTATTGGCATGAACTACAATTGAAAGTTGGTAAGTGTCTTAATTTACTATTCCATTTCATTGCCTTCTCTTGGCCTGTCAGTCAATCAGTGGGTTAATCTACTACTGGCACACAGTAAACATTATTATTGTGAGTATTGTACTACAGGGCATGTGTGTGTGTGTATGTGTGGCCAAATCAAAAATGGTTAGGAGGTGATTTGCCATTTCAATTAATTTTTCTGATATGGATAGAAAAAGTTTGAGCTTATTCTAGTTAAAATTAAATTTTTATAATTTTTTAAAGTTGATCAAATACTGAGGGAAAGTCCCCATAATATAGTACAGGGATTTCGGTCAAATTTCACCAAAATTAAAAAGGAGAGAACTCCTCAATTTTATTACATTTTCTGATAGATATACTTGTACTTATGTTGCATAGAAAGCTTGAGCTGATTCCTATCAGAATTAGATTTTTTATAAATTTTAAAAGTTTGTCTAAAAATGGCTAGTACAGCTGTACTACTACAGTACAGGGTATCATCAGTTTCGACGACTACTGAAATTTCCTACCAGTCTACAAGATAAGTTCCTTCACTAAATATACCAAACTTAATTAAAATGATAATACATTGTCTTAGTGTTGGCATAAACAAAATAATGAAAGTTGGTAAGTGACTCCAGTTACAATCATATTCCATTGTCTTCTCTTGGCTTACCATTCAATCAGTGAATCTGCTGTTGAGTTTATTTGGCAAACAAAAACAAAAGAAGATTTTCCATTAAAATTTAATAACAATCAATACACATGTATGATAATCACAGGTCATAGAAGTGGTAATTAAATGAGTGGATGGTGTTTGGTATTTGGGTGTGGCTCTACACTACCTTGTTAATGTGACTGAGGAGTCCGTTGTGTGCGATTGGGTGAAAGTTCTCTACTCTGCTCCCGTGATAGGCTAAGAAGGTACCGTACTCTGAGGCTGTCCTCTGCCATTTCTCCTCTCTCTCTGAGGACAGAGGCACTAAGAATCTATTGAAACAAGATGTCTTTGGATTGAGGTATAATATATATAACAACACAATCACCCTCTCTCCTCCATTAGGTGCTCCTGGTGTTACTGTTAGAGGAGAATCTGTTGACAGTAAAACTGTTCCACAGGCTCCTAATGCCAAGCAACCAGCAGCTCCTCCCACTTCAATAAACAGTGAAATAAAATTACCAGACACTAAAAGAAAGAAACTAAATTAATAATAATAATAATAATTTTGTCAATAAACTTCACTAACGAGACACCTACGGTGCATGGCCTCGCCCCTATAGCTGCTATGGTGCATGCCCGCACTTCAATAACTGTTTGATTATCAGCATGAAGAGAGTCTGCTCAACACTAGCTTCCTACAGTTGCACTTGCTCTTGAATACCTGCAGAAGTAGCAGCACTGCAGCACATACATGCAAGCAGCTCCAGCCCCTCCCATGCATGTAGATTGAAAGGTGTGGCATTCCATGAGTGTCAGCAAGAAGACCATGTGAGAAAGAAGCTTCACTTTTTCTTTACTAATCAGCAATATATGATAAACTTGCTGACAAAAAAGTCGCTGCCTTTGTATATTTGAGATAGTATAGGTACTGTAGTACCTATAACCCAGCAAGTTGTTGTTCTAGCGCTGCACAAACGAGTGACCTCAACAATTTCAAGTAAGTATAACTCTTCATCAAGTAAGATTTAGAGAAATCTGTTCATAATTTTTGAAGGCCATGTTCTAATCTACTGAAAAATGCTACCAGCTATCTCTAAAGTGCCAACACAACGGAACTTGGCCCAACTACTCGATTTTCTTACTTTGAAGCTTCTGTACCTAGCACTTGTATTTGAGCAACACAAAACAGTTAAGAAAGACTTTTCCACGTCAAAAATAAAGATCTAGGAGCTTAGAACACGCTGTGCTAAAGTTATTGTTTATTAAAAACAAATTTCAGTTGTACAGAATGAATGAATGAATGAATGAATGACAGACACACACAACAACTACCTATACCTCGCGTAGGCGAGGCCAATTACTTATCTACAATCAATGACATTAGAAATGATACTTTAATGATTCAATGTCTTCTAAATTTGTGGTTAAATCATCCGGATTACAATAAAGTCATATCATCCTGATAAAAGCAGTATCTGCTTTAGCACTAATCTAAAGACATGTAAATATACATCTGTTTGACACTGACACTCAAATTCTCATCTCACAATGGATAAATATTTTTTAGGAATTTTAAACTTTCAGAGGTGATAAAGCTTGTGGTTTGCTCTGTAGATGTAAATGTGTAATGTATAGCAATGTACATGTACAGTACTAAAGTACAGTGACTCATGCGCATGCTCAGCTCCTAGTAATAATAATGATGTAGAGGCTTCAATATAGCAAGAAAATCTTTTAACTTCACTGTCTTCATTAGAAAATTGGAATACAAAAAATAATCAAAAAGTTCATGTAGGCACCTGCTCTTTAGTGTTATTTGAGGATGAGGGCACACCATTGACACCAATTCTGAGAAGGTAGATTCATCCGCAGAAAACAGTTACCTGTACTGTTGATAAATTGAAGTATCAATGTATCATACTTTATGAAACATCAGCAGTTGAACAGGAGAAGTACATGCAAGTATTGATTTAGGAGACAACAGAAGTTTTGAGATGATGGTGACTGCTGTTGAACGGGAGAAACTACTGTTTTAAAAGATAGTGAATGTCATTAAACAGTCAACAGTGGTTGAAATACAAGAGACTCACAGGTTTTGAATTGCTACAAATGGGAAACATAAGGAACCTTAATTCAAAAGAGGAATTAAGTTTTAGCCCCGTTTACACTATGCCCTTAAAGCGGTTTGGAACCGGTTTAGAAATAAATCAGTTTACGTGTGGACAATTTCAATGCGGTTTAAACCGACTTATCTCAAACCACCTCAGGAGGTGGTTTGAGATAATCAAACCGGTTTAAGTACTGAAGCAGCTGTATTATGTATGCAATGTAGCATTGTAAACTGATTCAACCACAGTTATGTGTGGACACAATTAAGCTGGTTTCTGAACTGCTTTGATCCAAACTGGTTTGTAGTGTAAACGGGGCTAGTAATGAATAGTAATGCTGGCAATGGTGACTTGTACATGCACTATTCTACATGTAGTACAGTACATTATCATACATTACTTACCATGGCATGTATTGTTAGATATTATACAATGTACCTTATCAAGTAAAATATATTACTTAGCTCTATATGTACAACTAGTATGTATCCCCTGGCTACATGGATAAGGTGGTTCTTTCCTTTGTATACATGTATATGGCATAACACTACAAAACCACGTGTTGTCTTCTGGTTTTTAGTCTTATTATTTGTGCTTTGTCCTTTTTTGTTTTTAAATTCATATTTATGGTCCTTGACCAAATTGTAAAGAAGTAATGTAATAGAAGCTCTTGAGTAAGGTTTCTTCCTTTGCCAGAAAGTAGCTGCTGCTCACACTCTTCTTGAATGATGAAAGAAAAAGAAATAGCATCTATTGTTCATTGCTATATGCTATAATGATCTTTTCTCAAACCTGTGTTTTCTCAAACCTGTGTATTCTATAGTTCGACAACATGCAGTCACAATATTGGAATAGTCTTAAGAATTTTGGTGAAATTTAGGCCTATTCTAAACAAAGTCTTGCAGTCCACGTTAAAAGTACATTGGGAACCACAAAGTTGAAGTTTACTTGATAGCAAAATTAAAGATAATGACAATTAATTTAGTTGCAGTTTTATTTTGCGTCCCTTTTCTTTGCTGTCATTCCTATAGTAAAAGGGGCCTAAACAAATGTCGGTGACATAAAAATGTCCATCTTCCTAATCACAAATTGGTAGCAAGGGTATGTGGAAGTAACTATTGTTAATAATAATTAGGGCTGTAAAGTATTGAAAAATGCTATGGTATTACTATATACCTTTTAAAGATGTCAATGATATTATGATAATAAGATGTTCAATAGCTCAAGTCAGAATTGAGTTCATTTAGATGTATATTTTAGTTCACAAGTTCATAGAGAGAAATACCATCTTTTGAACTGTCTCTGGTTTAAAAAACTTTGTGAAGGAGTCACAATTTGTCCACTATGGCTAAATAATCTCTCAGAGGGAGCACTGGTTGCAGTTATCAGAGATACTTTTTGGCAACACCTTATAGCAATGAATTTGTAGTTTCCATATGCTTCCACCACTTTAATGGGTCTTCTTCATCTACGTTAGGTTCAACAAGGTATCTCTGCATCTCCTGCTGTATCATGATATCATGGCTCTGGTAGCTTGTTCATCAGTCTCTTGGCTCTTAAACTTCCTAGAGTTTGCTTCGTACGAAGTGGACTCTTGTCAGTTAAATTAGTAGTTGAGTTTTTAACTTCGCCATTAGACGAATAGTATTCAGCGGCAGCTACAGAAACAGTTTCTTTTACTTAGTCGATTTGTTGTGTATGCTTGGTTTTGAATCTGTTGTCTAGGAAAGATGCAATTTCGAGAATGTGAACAACATCATCAGTATTTCTACCAAGTAGATCAGCCAAAATTACAGTTTGAAGATTATGTACCAGTGGTGGATCTTCTTTTTCAAGACAGAATCAGTCACTAAGTTAATGATAGGTACAACAGCAGAGCTGGTTACATAGCTTTCTCCTCACATTACGCTTTTAAACTCTGCTAGTGGAGCTAGAGCATCATTGATGGCCTTTAACACTTCAATATCTTGCCAGCTTGGAATCAAGTTTGATGCTTTACGGTCAGAGAATACTAACTACACGAATTGCTGATTCTTGTTTGAGTATTTTGTCCACCATCTTCCCTGTGGAACCCCATCTTGTTTGACAATGTTATTAATTTATTTAATCCATAAAATACATACATGTAGCTGGTATGCTGTTGTTTCATCATTCCTTTCCATCTCTCTATCAACAATTTCCTTCACCTCTGCTGTAATTTTGGAAGGCCTGCCGCTACCGGGTTTTCTAGCAATAGTTCCTAAATTACATTACCTGATATATAAATACAATTCACAATGCACACACATTATATCAGTTAGTCTATATTTCTTTAAGAAGTACTGGATTCCTCTAGCTGTCACTATCAATCCTTCCTGCTCCAGCATTTTCTTAATGGTTATGGACCTGTGTCCTCTTTTATTTAAGCTTAATATCCTTGTCTTTTTGTAGCTTGAGTAAACCATCTCAATATAGCTGCTGCAACAATTCCCACTCAGTTCTGGTCCTCTGGAGCACGTGAGCTAGCTAGCTGACTTCAGGTAGGCGTGGCAAAATGTCGTTATGCCTAATTGCCATAGTTACAAAAATGTTTTATTATATTTTTTTACATCATAACAAAGCTAAAATTTCATTCAATAAACAAGATTATACAAAATAACAGTATTGAAAATACAAACAAAGTGTATGGAGTCCTCTCGTCCAGTCCATCTGGCAGTAGCGGAAGCGGTGAGTCATGGCTACCAAAGAATGATAGTAGGAGAATTTATTCCGTTTCTGGGTGGTCTATCATGCCATGCCAGTAGTAACAGAAGATGATAAGCTGCTCCATCGGTCATCCAAATGTGGAAACGCTTACAGAATGGCTCAGAACAGTAAAGACGGTAACGTGGCAACGCATCAAGTGCACGGGGAAAAACGGACAAAAGACGGTCCGTTTAACGGTGAACAACGCAAACGGAACACGAAGTTTTTATTGTCTTGTACTGTACATACATGTACAAAATTTACAACTTACACTAATAAGAATATGCTTCTTTAAATTTAATGAAGTTTGAGTGCTTCTTTGTCTTTTCCAACTGCATGAAAATGCATGCACAATTTTACATGCAATACCAAGAGCTTTGGAAAATCTTTTATGTGCATCTATTGCTTTCGTAATTTCCAAGCAAAGGTTATGTTCAAAGCATGATAGTCTGGAGTCTGGACCACTTCAGGTCCTTAGCAGCTGCCAATGTCTGTAGTCAAACAAATTTGATTGGCACTCTTGTGACTCTATATTTAAATGAAAAC